GCTACATTGGAGCCTTTAGCACATTATTTAGTATTTCTGATATGTTTTTTTCGCCTTGTACTAAACGATCTTTTTGTCTCGCCGATGTAACTACCAAACTCGGAAGCTGGAAAAGCCCGTGAAATTGATCGCATTAGCACCGCGTTACAATCTAATTGCTACGCACAAAAAGTCACTGCTTATATCATAAGAAAGCAATCTTCGACTCCTCCAACACCTTCACCTGAAGAACTAGTTGGGATGTTCTTCAGTTGGGCTGACCCAACGAATGGTCAGAGCTTCACGTTCCTTCCTTCCCTGTATCAAAGGTATTACCGAGCCTCTTTCTAGAATTCTCAAAAGTCATGATATTCGAGTAATCAACAAACCAATCAAAACACTACAACAAGAGTTCCCTGTTCCCAAGTTTCGACCTCGGGTCGACGACCAGTGCAATGCTGTTTACAAAATCCCTTGTGGGTCTTGTCCCTGGAGTTACACCGGCGAGACAAAAAGATCGTTTAGTACAAGGTGAAAAGAGCATATCAGAAATACTAAACAATCATTTATTCGACGGCAGTGCACGTAGAGAACACTCTGACGTCCACACAAGATCAACATCATGTTCGAAAGAACGGCCATGGAAATTCGTGTATAGTGCGCATGAGAAGGAAGAGAGACTGCCTCAGCTGTGAATGTAAAGAAACTGAAGGACACGAAAACAAAGAAAAAGAATCAAGAAAATAAAAGACTGTAGCTCTCAAAGTCTGCCGTTTTATTGGTTTATCCACGTCATGACGTCAATTGAGGTCAACCCATTCATAGCCTATTTCAATGTGGCCACTCATAAAATATAACCCCGTTGTTTCGTCATAACCAACCTTTGACCGAGTTAAGTTATTTGGGAATTTTAACCAGGTTTCCTAAATTATAAACTCAGTTAACTGCGGCTGCAGCCATCATATTATTCACAACGCTGCGTGAATTCATTATATCTTCACATTTTGCTCACTGATTAAATAGAGCCCGTATTTTCCGGAAGAAAAAAATGGGGGTCCAGAAGGGGGTTTAAATGAGGGTCCAGATGGGGTCCAGAAGGGGTCCAGAAGGGGTCCAGTAGGGGGTCCAGATTGAGGGGTCCACGTTTTGTACCGACCCCTAAAACCAAGAAGATTCAAAGTTGTGCAAAGTGTACACCACTCTGTAACAAACTGATTAGTCATTTAAGCAAAGAGTGCACTACTTATACATTAATTATAGTACCTTTAAAACCAAAAAAATCATTTTAATTTTTAATTACTTGGCGAGTAACAAAATTCAAGTGTGCACTTCCCTGAAATGTGCCACTTACCAATCAAAGTAAAGAGTGACGCTGCTCAGAAAGATGACTATTGAGCATAGAATCAAGATGGTGTACACTACACAATGTGCCCTGTAACATACAATTAGTCATAAAAGTAAAGAGTGTACAACTCAGTAAGTTGACTATTGAATGTGTACCTGCAGGCTTTTAGCCAGATGGGCATTCAGGCATCTTGTGGATGGCCACTTATTAAAGAAAATTGTTTTATTTTTCATATGTTGTCTTATAAATTGCTCATTTGGCAGACCGACCCTATAGCACATTTTGGATGCCCACTTTTCAAATCGTGGCTAGAAGCCTGACATGTACCAAATCAAAGCATACACTACTCTGTGAGGTACCAGTTAGCCATGGATTCAAAGTAAAGAGGGTGCTACTCAGTAAGGTGACTATCGGGCACAAAATCAAAGGTTCTGCTCGTCTGAAAAATATCAGATGATTGTTTTCCAATATTTTTGCTCTAAAAGGAGCAGGCCTTTCTTGATTCCTGAACAGGTCCATATGCACTAAATGCAAGGCGGGATAGAATATCTCCATTACTTGCATTTCATGAGGCTTTCCTACTGAAATGTGGAGTTCCAGAAAATATCTATACCCACCTCAAGGAAGGTTAATGGAAATTCCAAGGGGGTAGTGGGTTTCAAAAATGAAAACTTTTAAAAGGAAAGTTTGAAAAAGTTTGTTTGGGGTGGGACAGTTCAAACTGACAAAGGGGTATTGATATTGTCTGGAGCAACACAATGTAAATGTACCATTGTCCAATGTATTCCAAAGTTATTATTACTTATAGGGACCACAAAAGGGAGGGGCTGGAAGGGCTAGAGCACTTTTTGCTTGGGTTGAGTGTCTAGGGCACTGGATGCATGAATAATGGCAAAACAGTGACCCCTTAGTGGTTTTAGGGTTAGGGTTCTTTACCAGATTTTTTAGCCCTTCCAATTTAAAAATAATGGCCTCTGTGGTCCCTGACTTGTGAAGTACTCTTAAAGGTTTTTCTCTAACACACTTGTGAGACCCTGTGATTGTTGTTGTGCACTTTTTATCCATTGTTGATGCTGTAAAGTGATTTAATCAACACATGCACATGTTTTATACCACCATGGCCTTAAACTTTCATTTATTTATGAGATAAAAAAATCCGCATATCCAATCATCAGAAGACCTGTTTTAATTTTTTTTCTCTTCAGTAAAAGAACCCTATTGTTGAACAATCTACCAGCCTTGTTAGGCTCTATGATGATGTTTTTCTCATACCACGCTAAAGCACCATCATTACTTATTACTGGACGCCTTATTGTTGGCTTTAATAGTGGTAAGGTTATATTTTGTTGTTTGCAATTTACCCTTAGCTTAGTACATTGTAGGTCTGTTTAATTAGACTTTCCACACCTTCTGGGCTTGGTTGTGAATTTGTGGCACAGATTGCTGAGGTTAAGAGCAAATGTTGACCTACAAAAATCAAACATAGTGTGGTAAGACTAATAAAAAATAATAAAAAAATAAAACAAAATTTGCCCTACTTTTGCATATAAGTAGGCTGTAGTAAAAGTCAATCATTTCCATTTGATTCACATGCTGCAACTATCAAACACAGAAATTTTGTAGTTTCCAACCAAATTATGTAAGAACTATTCCTTGTCCAAAAAAGCACAATTTCAAGAATATTGGATTAATATAATTATTTGGTGGTGTACAAAACCAGAGTGTTCTCCAACATTGAGTTAATTAATTTCTCGTATAATGATGAAATTGTTTGCAATAAGAATTTTTGAACAGAAACTAATCAAAATGGAAAGCCTCCTTAACTTGTGGTATCCTAGAAACCTTACACTTTATGGTCGCATAACGATTGTAAAATCCTTAGCAATTCCCAAACTCGTTTATAACACATCTGTTCTAACTTTTCCAACAAAATTCATCGCCATGGTAAATCAAGCAATCACTCCATTTGTATGGATCAAGAAAGCTAAAATTAAATACAGAACAATGATAGGGCTGAAAGAGCAGAGAGGGCTAGACATGCCTGATTTTCAAATAATCATTGAAGCGCTTAAAGTCGTTTGGGTAAGAAGATTAAGTGACAGCAATGGAACCGCAAGTTGGAGTCATATCCATCTTTCCTACCTACAACCAGTTGGTGGTCTGTTTCTTCTGCA